AAATAAACCCTTTCCTCACCTAAGTCACCCTAACAGCAATAGAAAGAAAACTAGAATACTGGGCCACAGTGTAAGATCTTGTCTCAACAACAGCAGAAATAGCATTTGGGATGCAGAGGCCCGTGAAAAGCTGTGAGTTTGAATTTGCCGTGGTCTATATAGAGAGTTCTAGGCCTGCTAAGGCTACATAGTGAGACCCTGTTTGAAAAACAAAACAACAGACTATATGCTTCAATAACTTAGATAACAAAGTAATTATATCAAGTATTTTGCTTTTCTTTTATTCTAATTAGCCTTGACAAAAAGATATAGATTATAATTCTTTCATCTTTTAGCTCATTTATTCATTCACTCACTCAACAAATGATTGTTTCATGAGAATTAATTCTATAGAGAATCTTTCTATAACATGAAGAGCGTGGATAGCAGTAAAGATACACAGAGACGATTCCCATGATTCTCAGAATCTGTGTTGAGTAAGAAAAAGAACTTGAAATAACTACATTTATATAATTGTATTTATTTAACACTGGGAAGTAGTTACTTTAGATATTTGGAATTGATAATAAATAAGACAAGCAAGGAAAGACAAATTTCTTTCAATGTAGAAACTTGTAAATTGATAGCAGACATTAAAAAATAGAAATAAAATAAGCATACACAGCTATGACTAAGAAAGCCACGTGAGTCTAAAACTAATAAACAAACAAAAACCATGGCTGTGAAGAGGAAACGGCAACCATTCACCCCATTTCTGGTCCTGCATGCTTAAATTCTGCAACTGGACTCCCAAGCTGGCAAGATTTGTCTAATTTGTCTTGAAACTCCTAAAACAAGACTGTAGATGGCGCCATCACTTTGACCATTGCTGTGTGATTTTGCTAAAGATTTTGGTTTATTCCTTCCATCCTGGCTTAGATCACACTTTACAGGAGATTTATTTTCATTCACCAGTTTTCCCTCTTTTTTCAGCGTACAAGGATCTTGATAGACACTTTCGCAGGAGGAAGCCAGCTCAGAAACTGAAACATTTTAAAGTTGCTCAGTCGCTCCACAGCAGGTGCAGGAGAAAGGACACCACCACCCGCTGTGGCTCTGGATCCTGAATTTAGAAGCTGCGCCAGTGATTTATTTACACTGTTACCTGATGCCCGCTGCTCTCTGTAGAAACACCAGATGCATTTCTGCCAATATTTTAAGCTCGGTTACTTTATTCTAAAGCGAACTGTGCATAAAATCCTCACATTAAAGAACAAAGGCTCCCGGGGTGTTGCTGTTGATCCAACTAGGACACACCAGAGACCTTCCTGGGGCTATCTGGCACTACATCCCGCTTACTCTCTTTATGTTAAGTATGATTCTGAAATTAAGAGCACAGGCAAAGTCAAAGATCCGACTGATCAATGGATGGCTAATGATGTACTAAAAGTGAATGCAAGGGGGGAAAAAAGCCACTGTGAGCAGAATGAAGGGCATAGCATAGGTCACCCAAAGCACATAAATAAATATGCAAGAAAAACCCACTCCACTTTGTACACGGGTACCCAAACATCACATCATACTCGAAAAATGTAACACAGTTATGACTTTCAATTGAACATAAGACAAAAGTTAAAACTAAATGAATCACATATTACCACTAAAAAAACAAAAACAATTTCCATGAGTTTGTAGGCTTTCTGTAATTCGTGTTGTTGTTGAATTATCCTGTCCCTGGCACGTAGCTGGCTTTTGGGAACCTATTCCAGATGCTGAATTACCTCAACCAGCCATGACCAAGGGAAGGAGGAGCTTGGTCCTACTTCAACTTGACGTGCCATGCTTGCATAAACCCATGGGGGAGGGAGGCATGGGGCACTGGGAGGAGGGAGGGCAAACTTGTCAGTATGTAAAATAAATGAAAAAAATGTTATTTAAATTTAAAAAATGAGAAAAAATTAAATCAAATGCTTCTTCCTTGAAAATACTAGTCAGCATTTGCTCTTCACTTCCTCCTACCTTCCCCAGGCAATTTAGAGACACCCAGTTGTGGGACAGAAGGTGGAATTGTTGACAGTTCAGAGTGATGACTTCCAGGAGAAGCATGGTTGATTCCCTGTCTGGCTCCAGACACTGTGCTGGGTGTTGAACTCAGAAGACCAGAAGACGTGGAAAGACAGAGTGCTCTTCCTTTTCAGGGTTAGAGATTGAAACACACGATGGCATTAGTGGTACCAGACAATGGAGTTTAGGCTGTAACAGAGGAGATTATAGGTTTTTGCTTTTGAAACAGTATCATTTATTTTTATAGCAGGTATAGATAGGTGAGGTTTTTAAAAGTGTCTCTCATTGTGTAGCCCAGGCTGCTTGAAATTGCAATCCTCTCACCTCAGCCTCTCATGTGCTGAGGTTACAAGCACGTGACACCAAGTCCAGGTTAGTGGTGGTTTCTATCCTGAGAGAAGCAGGAAGGGTAACAAGTGAGAATAAAGTATAATGACACATATGGATGGAAATGTCATGACGCCTATGGTTTGCATGCTAACCTAAACATGAGAAAAAAAAGAATAATCAGCTGATGAATAATAATTATTATTAATATTTTAAAGTATCTTTTCTTTGACATTCATAGACACATATGTGTATAAATGTTTATACATCGAATCAACATGTATTTGCTGAAAATATGTGATGAATAAAAACTCTCAATTTCCTAGGAAATATCACTGTGAATAACATGGGTAAGAGTCTTAACTCTTAGAAGCAGTTTTTAATTTTTTTGTTGTTTGATACTTTCATATATTTATATGATGAAATTTGGTTATTTTCATGCCCCATATTCCTCTCTCACCACCCCCTCTCTCACATGAGCCCATTTTCTCAACAACTTTCTCATGCATTCATGTCTTCTTCTCATGTATGACCCACCAAGTTTAATTAATTAGTGAGTACGGAAGGGAACTTGGCAGGGACTATTGACTTGCATCCTCTTTTCTGTGTTTTAATGAAAAATAAGGATGTTCCTTTTATCTAGACACTGAAAGAGGATCTCCTCCTCCTTTTCTCTCACATGAAGATCTCATGGCCTGTGTCATGGGTGATCTTCCTCTTTTTGTTGTTTTTTCAAATGTCAACATGCCTTATCTTGGGGTAGAATGTCCGACATCTCATCACATTGCTTCCCAAAGATTGCATTATGAATTGAATGACTAATGGATATTGAGAATAGATACACAAGACCCCTATAAATGTCCATGAACAGTCAGTAAGACTTTTGTGACAGACCAGGAAAGAGGCAGAATCTCACTTAGTTACCTTCCACTGAATGCTCTATCATCTCCATCCTTGTTAGACCTTGAGAAGTACATACTTATTATCATATAATGGCTGCTCCTAACTTCACCAATATACCTGGCGGACTCACCATGACTTCCAAGTAACTTTGGGCTTTATTCCTAAGGCCCAATAGTTTGAGGTACCTACACAAGCAAGCCTGATTGTGGTAGTGCTACTACTAACTTCTTAAGTCAGAGCTGAGTTTGTTGTCTCGTGATCAGGAAGAATGATGAGTGTTTGAGATCCTGTCTTAAAACACAAAACAAAGCAAAAAACCAACTTGGCAGTCGGTGGTAGGTGAATCCACTCTTACAGCAGTTATATTTGGAATTCGTAATACATTATCTTTTCTCTGACTTTGGTGTAATAAGTCCACTGCCCTGAACAGTTTCCTCAAGAGCAAACATTCAGAGCCATCATCCTTGCTCTCCCTCATGCTCTCTGAGAGTTGGAGGTGCATGCATTACTTCAAGGTGTGCCGCTGTCGCATGTCATAAAGATGAGAAGTTTCTTGGTTTAACGAGTGTTAATAGCGAAGCCCTGATGAAGACTCACTTTGACTACCCCTTCGTCACCACAGCTTCTTTTCATTAGCACATTTCAGCCTTGGAAAGTCTTCCAATTTTGTTTTGTAGACTCTGACTTCAGCTCACATTGGACCTTCTTCCCCATTGCAATAGTAATCCTCAAATTAAACCTGTCCTCATTACGTTGGTGTCCTCCTTGTTGACCTACAGCAGTAATCAAATGATGGAGATCAAACAATTTCCAAACTGTACCGATTTGATCACTTTGGGTTAACCTGTGAATTGGAAGAGAGAAAGAGACATTTCCAGACACTTAGCTTTATGCTTCAGTCTTAGACTGTCCCTAAACTAGTACTTGCATTGTGTGAGTCCAGAAGAACAAAGCCAGTGCAGCAGAAAGCAATTCTAAACCTTAAAGACAGAGGCGACTTTGTTCCAGTTCCTTGTTCTAGCTTTAACATTTCCATTGTCTGGGTATCCATGTCTTTTTCTCCTGATTTGAAGATAGTAGAACTAACACATGCTTGCCTAGAATTATTAGAGCTCCGAGATTAAATGAGAAAGCCTGTGTGCTGTGTAGTACCTAAGGCAGAGTAACTACCAATAAATACTTACTCCTATATATTTTCAATCCATGACAAGCTTCAGACAGAATTGTTTGTTGTCTGTTGCTGGAGTAAAGTGCTTTTGATACTTCCTGTGGTTTCCTCCATTAGTGAAAGAGTTTCTTTGTGGATAACCTTTCTGCAAGCATTGCCAGCTCCTCCAACTGTGAAGCATTTAATATGTATTTATGAAATGTTTGCATACAGATGTGTGCATGCAAGCAGAATTCTAACAAGCCAATGGTGAACACAAGATACCAAAACTGCTTAACAGTTTACATAGGCCACACCAATTAATCATAACAACTCACGGAGAGTGCAACTAAAGCCTCTTAAGACATCAATCTATGTATCAGTCATGGAACTGATCTCCAACAACAACCATGTGCTATACAACATTTCTTCTTTCTTCAGAATTTACAGCCTCAAAAACAGGATCTAGAGGCAAAAAAAAAAAAAATGGGAAATTACTCCAATGTGGTTTTTATTTCCTGCTTTGCGTACTGGCTAGACTACTTAAGCTGAGCTCCATAAACCTCAGCAAAGAGCTGTTCCAGAGTTTGGTTTAGAGAGCCTTACCCTGGCAGTTATTTCTTTGCAAGGAACATTCAAGTTCTCTGCCAAACCAAGGCCCTCTGAAACAATGGAATATCATTCTCATCTAGAGAATCTGGATGAAGATGGATATACTCAACTAGACTTCAGGACTCAAGGCATCCACAAAAGACCTGTAGGATCAGAGAAAGGTAATCATTTTCTTTCTACTTATAGAACCTTCATTTTCATCAACAAAAGTAGAGACCTGGAGAGTCTGTTGATTTGTAGAACTTCCTACTGGAATATATATTGGTATATAGTTTTAAAGGCTGCTGGAAGTCATCACAGATCCCTTGGATATCTATCAAATTTCTTTTCCTGGAAACTACTCAACAACCTTCATAGACTGCTTTTGATGTGTAGCAGGAAACAGAACTACTCTGCTCTATAGTCACAGATGCTTTATCTGGGAGGCTGGTAACAAATGAGTGGTAGACAAAAATGAACGAATTTTAGTGAGTTGCTTCTTGCTTGTCTCATAGTAAGTTGTAAGTTGACTAAGAAACTTGAAATAGTGTAAATGAACCTATACAATATTACAATATATAGTGCCAAAGGGTTGGGAGATGAAATCATAACGGATTGCATGGTAAATAAAAATGAATACATCTTCGGTTAAACCCAAAGAGTAGCCAGGAGTCACAGAGTTTTAAACCCCAAGTCTGATAAACTTTTGTGAGGAGAGACTAATTTGAATTTTTAAAAACTAGTTGGTGGTATATCAGTGACAGAAAACATATGCTAGATAAAAAGTGTTCCATTAGCAGGAGATAGATCTTAAAATGGAAACAGTACAAAATATACAGGATGTTAAAGGCTCTCTCTCCTCATGGGGTGAGTGTTTTACTCTCTTTCTGAGTCTCCTATTGGGCATCTCTGCTATGGGATGGTCTGTATGTCAAATGTATTCTTCTGATTGGTCAATAAATTAAACACTGATTGACCAGTGGCCAGGCAGGAAGTATAGGTGGGACTAACAGAGAGGAGAATTGAGAGAACAGGAAGGTGGAAGAAGACACTGCCAGCCACCGCCATGACAAGCAGCATGTGAAGATGCCAGTAAGCTACAAGCCACGTGGCAAGGTATAGATTTATAGAAATGGATTAATTTGAGATATAAGAATAGTTAACAAGAAGCCTGAGCCATTAGGCCAAACAGTTTAAATAATATAAGCGTCTGTGTGTTTATTTTATAAGTGGGCTAAGGGACTGCTGGGGCTTGGTGGGACCCAGCGATAAAACTCTCCAGCTACACATCTCTGTTACTTGGGCTTCTGCTGTTGGTGTGGTAAGCTTAATACAAAATCAGATTACTGTTATCATTAAGGAAGCAATGATTCACAGGTTCTGACATCACAATTTGCTTTCTTCTGCTTTTTGGTGTTCACATTATGCAATTATTTTCCTCTCATAACCACTTACACAATTCCTTTCTTGTGCAATTTGCTTGGAAAGTGATAGAAAATTTGAGTGAAGGACGGGTCAAGGCTTATGTGCTCACAATTGCTGCAAAGGGTGCTTCTGTGCATTTTAGATCACTTACTTCCAACAATAGTATTTTAAGTTGTTATTGATCTGGTTTCACTAATATAAACAAAAAAATAGAAAGAAGGGAAAATAATTTGTCCAAATAGTGTACCAAATAAATGACATAAAAAAGCTACCCTTAATAGTTGGTTCTATTTCTCCTACAAAAAGCTGTTCACTCCATGAACAAGTAGGATTTCAGGGAATGAATAACATCCAGAACTATAGAATAACATGTAAACCTGAATTTAAGGAGTGTACAGTAAGAACGCATAGCCTGATATCACAGAGTTTTAAATCCCAGATCTAATATACTTTAGTAGGAAGAGATTAATTTGAATTTTTTTTTTTTTAGTTTTTCAAGGCAGGGTTTCTCTGTGTAGCTTTGGTGCCAGTCCTGGATCTCATTCTGTTGACCAGGCTGGCTGTGAATTCACAGAGATCTGCCTGGCTCTGCCTCCTGATTGCTGGGATTACAGGCATGTGCCACCACCACCTAGCTTTAATTTGAATTTTTAAAAACTAGTTGCTGGTATACCAGTGATGGAAAACATACGCTAGATGAAAATATCCCATTAGCAGGAGATAGATCTTAAAATAGAAACAGTATATGATATACAGGATGCTAAAAGATGATAACACAACTGAAGAAGAGACACCCTGAAGCTGGGGAACAATGGAGACTCATACTACAAGACTAGACTCTAGTGGCTGGTGATCCCTTTAGAACTATCCCCATTTCAGTGTGCTATTAAAAGCAATTAAAAGGCTCCACAGACTCTCCTTATTTTCTTTCTCATCTCTTTGGCTTTTAGGAAGTCAGGTTCCATCTCCTCCTTGGCGTCTCATTGTGACGGCTTTGGGAATCCTGTGCTTGGTCGCAATAGTGGTTGCCACAGTCCTGGGTGTCCTAGGTGAGTATGGATGAAGGAGAATAATGCCAGTCACAGACAATTAATCTGTACACTAATCCCATTGAGTTCCTACTATTAATTTCCATTTCACTTATAGGGGAATGGAGAGAATGGAAGATTGACTATTCCATCATTTTAAATTAGTGGTGGGATCATGAGTAGAAATGTAGATAATCTGCTTAATAAAACACATATTCTTAGCTATATTGCTCTACTACTCCACATGGATAGCTTAATTTTTTTAAAGAGGAATTTAAAGGATAAGTTAGTGGAGGAGAACTTACAGAACTGGAGAAGGAAACACAATATGCTGTTATCTTCCCTTGGACACAGCTATATTAAAGGAGTTGTGTGTAATTTTGTGAGCCTTGTGATTCTTGGAAATTATCTTACACACGATCTTAATAAAAAGTATCTTGACTCTATCAATTATTGCCTGAGGCACTTAAAAAGCACTAAGCAAATTATTTTGTGAAGGATGAATAGATCTCTTTAGGTTTCTATGTCTCTTGAATCCTGTGTCAATACAGTTGTATGATACCTTCAGAGAGTCTTAATTGCTCATAATTAGTCAAATGATCATTTAGTACAAAAATATTCTATGCATTACATGATGGGTAATTCACAAAGAGCTGCCCTTTTTAAATAATAGAAGAAAGCAAGTGGAGTATTATTGTCATTGAATTATTATTATTTCAAGTCTTTTATAATTGCAGTTAGATCTATGTTATTTCCTTCTTGCTACCTTCTTCATAGAAGTTACTTATTCCTTTCCATATATTTGATGGGTTGTCAATGTATCAACTATTAGACTCTGTCTTTATATCAGTAATGTATCATTGATTTATCATTAATAATAGATAATCCCTATGAGATTTCATAAAATATGGGTGCTGGAATTTCAATTTTCAAACACAGCAGAATGACTTTCTTTTTTCTGTCACTATTATTGTTTGTGAAATATGAAGCATTTTGGAGATTCAATTCAGGGAGAAATCCAGAGGAGAAAGAAAACTTCCCGTCAAGAAATAAAGAGAACCACAAACCCACAAAATCATCTTTAGATGAGAAGGTGGCTCCCTCCAAGGCATCCCAGACTACAGGCAAGGGCAGAACTAATGGAGCAATGGAATCCTGGATTCCAGAGGTTCATTTCCTGGTGCTGAGGCTTGGGGTGGGGAATATGTTTACATCTAATAACAGTATATTCCAAGCAAACACGCCTAACAATATTTCCTTAGCATAACACATCCTGTCAGACACCTGATAAAATGATATCACAAGTCTACAGCCCTTTCAAAAAGGATCAGTAACTGCTTTTATCTCTGGCTGTGTGTCAAGACCTACCGGATATGATTTAACTTTATGCAAAGGAAAAGGCAGTGTCTGTAGGGAACTGGTATTTTTACAGTGATATTGTTAGAATAAGATATACGTAAGGGAAAAAGAATGTCAGGGGAAAAGTAAGGAAGGGACACTGAAGACAAGAGTGTAAACACTAATAAGAACATGCAGAAGAAAGGGACCTGAGGCATACATCCCTGAAAGCTCTGGTCAAATGCATTCAATCATAACATTTAACTGATTTTGTAACAATTTTTCTATACTCTGCCTGTGTTTCTGATTGGATCATAGTTGACTGACAATATTTTCCCTTCAGTATTCCATCTCTGGACTTACCTACCCACTGTTTTTAGCTAATGAAACAAAAAAGAGTCTTTGAAATACAAACAATTACATTTATGTTCTCCATAAGATGAATTAAGTGAGCTGAAGCTACTGTGTGTAGCAATTGATTTTGAGTGTGTTTGCTTTAGGGAAGCGCAGTAGAGAAAATGAGTCTGGGGACTAAATTTGAAATAATGGAAGAGATAACTAGTTGCCTATTTAAACACTGTAATTACTCAACTGATTTTAAACTTAAATTTTTTTATGTGTATGAGTGTTTTGCTTGCATGTATGTCTGTGTACCACTTGAATGCCTGGTATCATCAGAGGCCAGAAGAGTGTCAGATCTCCTGGAACTGAAGTTGTAAATGGTTATCAACTGTCATGGGGGTGCTAGGAATCAAACTCAAGTCCTCTGAAAGAGCAGCCAATGTTCTTAACCACTGAACCAACACGTCAGCCCCTAATTTTAATTATTTTTTAGTGAACAAAGGGATTTTAATATATTGTGTAAAAATATTCTCTAATTTGAGTCAGAAATGAAATATGTGTTAATGAAATATATGCTAATGAAAACTCATTATCAGGTATTTGCGAAACTGCACTAAATAATTAGAATTAGTTGGTATACTGTGGACTTCATGATGTTATCTTTTCTTTCCAGGACTTTCTTCTGGGCCTTGCCCCCCTAATTGGATCATACATGAGAAGAGCTGTTATCTATTTAAGATGTCAATAGATTCCTGGGCCGGAAGTAAGAGACACTGCTCCCAGCTAGGTGCTCATCTACTGAAGATAGACAACTCAAAAGAATTTGTAAGCACAAACTTCTGCTATAATTACCTGTGGTGAACATAGGTTCAGCAGAGCAAGGAGATTCTTGGACTAACAATGTTAACATCAATGTTCTATGTAACTACAAAATTATGCAATAGACATGTAAAGTATATAATATATTATTTTATTTTTAATTAATTAATTTGAAAGGGGATCAAATTTTACTTTAAAATAAACAACTTGACCTGAGTTTGGTTCCCAGAGTTCATATAATGGAAGGGGAAAAAAGACTTCCACAAATTGCCCTCTGACCTCCATATGAGCCCTGTGGCACCACACAACACAAATGCACAAAACAAATAAGTAAACATAAAAATGTTAAAACAAATAAGTTAAAACAAACTTTATGATTGTTTGAATATAGTGGTAAGGGCCCTTAATTTTTGTATATTTGTACTTCAATTTTCAAAGTTGAAGTACAGGAGAAAAATTGTCCACTTGTCATTTTAATTATCAAGAAAAAAATCCTACATTTATGAATTGTTTGTTCTTTGCAGAATACTAAGAAAGGCGAAGAGATGATTTTTTGTTTGTTTGTTTTTTAATTTGGAGACATGGTTTCCGTCTTAGTCCAGACAGACCTAGAACTCACTTGTGGCCAAGATTGAACTCAAATTCCTTCTAAGTGGCAAAGAGGTTTAAAAACTAACCATTCTATATGTAGTTGAAAGAGAAACAACATTTGTTAATAGTTGAACATCATATATTAATAACAGATAACCTGAGAGTTGAGAGGTGTTCTCATTAACAAGAAATTTTGTAGGAACAGGAGAAAACTTACCATCCATGTTCATGCAAGAGTTTGATTCAAATGATCTGTGAGAAGGTAGCAATGGAAAGCATTCCACAATATAGTCCTAATCTGTACACTCTATCTTCACTACTCCATTTTATTGGTCTGTAATGCTATACGCAATAGCTGTAGCTCTTGTTAAAGTTAACAAAAGCAAGAATATAGTCAAGGATGAAAATCATATTAGAAACCAACAAGGCTTCTGATACAAACCTGTAATTGGCAAAGTATCATCTAATTTTTTTGTAACCAATTCAAGTCTTCATTGAAACCTGGATTAGTTATTCATAAAACATGCACTGCAGTTCTGGGGATGCAGATTTGTGGTAGAGTGCTTACCTGGCACCTGCCAGGCTCTGGGTCTCACCCTCAGCATTGCGTTTCTTGGCAAATCTAGTATGAGTTTATATTTGCCACTTGTGCAAAAACTAATGGCTCATTTCCCATGAAACTGCCAGGGAGCTGGACCTCACTGGATTTTGTAAGGTTTGTTGAATGGGGCAGAATATTAACATAATAAGCCTGTTTTGCCCCTTTGGCTTGTATGAGCTGTGTGTGTGTGTGTGTGTGTGTGTGTGTGTGTGTGTGTGTGTGTGTGTGTGTTATGTGTATATGTGTGTGCATATGTGTGTATGTATGCATGTAACACAAATCTTAAAAGGTCTTAAAAATAAAAAACCCAGGCCAGGCAGCGGTGGCAGATGCCTTTAATCCCAGCACTCGGGAGGCAGAGGCAGGCGGATCTCTGTGAGTTCGAGGCCAGCCTGGTCTACAGAGTGAGTTCCAGGACAGGCTCCAA